ACTATAGTTTAAATATTTAATTATAGTTATACAATCTTACATACTATCCGATTAATATTTTTATGAAAATACATATTAACGACCTAGGAAAATATTATAAAAAATATAATTTTCTTATAATATTTGAATCTATATTTTCTCATTAATTATTTATTTATTATAATAAACTGAGAAGTTCAATATAAATTTAAATATTAAACTTAATAATAAGCTAATGATAATTATAAGCTAATAATCAATTATCAAATTGTCATTTATATGGCTTTAAATAAAAATTAGGGACGGCCTCGTTCAACGAAATCGCATATATGAGATGTACCTATTTACTTTTCAATAATGAAAACCTATACGGGTATTTTATTTTCATACTGTTACGTTATAAGTATCTTTTTTATAAGAGTATTTGTATTTAAACCAGAATAACAATAAATAATTAAAATAAATATGTATAGTAATTAACGTTTAGTTAAAGAAATGTAATATATTAAGTAGAAATGACAAAGAACAAGAAGACTATTGTGAATGTTGTATAACGTATCATACTTATAATTTTTTTTTTTTTCATTAAATAAAAATAAAGCATTCCTTGCCATATACATATACTATCTATATCTACGAATAAAAAAAGAAAATTTAAAGTTTTAACATAATAATATGGATTTAACTTAAGTTAATAATGCAGTATTGGTGTTTACAGTAAGAATAAGGAATAATATTTAAATTTTCACAAAATAATTGTAATATATTTTAGCAGTTAGTTTAATGTGTAAGAGTGCTTTAGGAAGAAGTGCTTGAACAATTGAAGATTTGAATGTTGGAGGTGAGCTTAGCATTAAAGGTCGTAGAGACTACCTCGTTTTAAACGACGTTGAGTTGGGTGGCTGGTACCGAATTGGTTCCCGTCTGAAAAAGGTATTTTATTAGGTATAGCCGAATTGGTTCCCGTTTAATTATGCACATTTTCCTTCTCAATTTTACAGGCTTAAGTCTGTCAACTTTAAAGTAGGCTTGATTAATAATGTGCGTTAATATGTGTTAAAAAAAAATTATAAAATATATACAATTTTAAATCGTTGATTTGGAAGTCAACTAGTCATCACTTAGGTGTACGAAATACAAATAATAAAATATAATAAATACAATTTAAAACCACTGATTTGCAAATTTGAATCTAACTTTCTTTAAATATTCAATTCTCGTAAACTTCTCATTAATTTACTCAGTCTTACAATTTTCCAAGTATTTGTTATTACTTTCCTGTTTGCTAATAATTTGCTAGTCTCTAGTAATCTATAGTCTTTTATATTCTATACTCTATCCTATCGATATAATAATAATTAATCGATATTAATTATGTCTATATGTCATACAGATAGCTATTAACATTTTTTTTTTTTTTTTGTTTCTATGGTAAATAACATAAAAACTGGCCCGCTGAATTTTAATATTTAATAGTGTAGGTAAATTGTGTTAAAAATTAAAATTGTCACTATTTTGCCTGTACACAAATGGGAACAAATTCGGCTATACCTAATTAAATACCTTTTTTAAACGGGAATTAATTCGCCCAAATGAGAACCAATTCGGTTACTCCCAATTTGGGTGAGTGCAAAAATTGTAGTAAGTTGCATCTATTGATCCTGGAAGAGTGTTATGGAAATTTTTCGTTAGTGTTTTTATATGGTGTTTAATTTTTTGAATTTGAAGATATTTGTAGAGATTTGCATTTTTAACGAACCATGGGGCATTTGCGATTATTTTCAGTATTTTTTTTTTGGACGATTTGAATTTTTTTAATGTTTGAGGATGCAAAATTAGCCCATATCGTGCAAGTGTAGGTGAGCAGTGGGCTTATAATTTGTTAGTAAATTAGGAGAGAGTATTTTTTCTGTAAAGTGGACTTTTTTTTTATATTTAGAATAGGATAAAGCATTGAAATAAGCTAGTAAATTGTTGTTGTTGGACTTTATATGAAATGTGGGTTCACCAACTGAGTCGTTTATCAAGAGTTACTCATAGGTATTTGACCGTAAGTTGCCAGGGTATATTTTAACTGTCAAAATTGAGTTGTGAAGGATTAACGTAAGAACGTAGGCTAAATATAACTTCTGTGCTCTTGGAGGGGTTGATTTTAATTTGCAAAAATCGACTTATAGACTGCTATAACGTAGATTTTCAACAGTTCAGAACAGCGATTCTCAAACTGTGGTACGCAAAAGACTATATGGTTGTACGTGGAAGGCCGCATGGTGGTAGAACGGAAATTGAAAATTTGATCGACGCTGGTTCTACGAAAGACCTAACTTCGTCTCGAGGTGCACGTGGCCCCATGAACTGGCTGTGCGAGATCGGAGTAAGACGGACCATACGTCCGTAATCAATGAGTCACGGCCGGCGGAGGATTGACGACGACTAGTGGCGGAAACACGCTACTTTCGCTGTCATAACAACCGGAACTGGAGGGGTTCCGACCTGTTCACACCGGGATACCGTACTCGCAGCTCGGCTGATTACCGAAGCTCGGGCCGAAAGGGCTTTCAAAACTGAACCTTCAGTGGGCGAGAACATAGATAGGGCGCGTGTAACGTGCTCCCGTCACTCCCATGACGCGGGCAATTGGCACGGAATCCGATTCTCGGTGAAAACCCGGAGAGCTATGCGGAAGCGCGCGCGAGCGTGACCGAGTAGCCTCTCTTCCATACGGATAGGAAGTTCAGTTGTTACTGCTATCAACGGGTAAGAGACTCGGCCATTCCCCGAACTCAACTCCCAGATAGCTTCGTGCGAATTTTCGTCCGGACCGGAGACGATAGTCAACAAAGCACCAAACGGGAAAACTCGCTTAAGCTGACCAGAGTTTTGATCTGTAACCGCAGGGACGGACGAACGTCAGTCGCTCCTGGAGGCAGTCGCTTGGAACTCCGTGCGTCCAATCGACCGCTACCAACCCCGTACCGAGTCGTACTGACGGTGGCCATTCAAAAATCGCACGGCCGAGTGGGTGCCGGCAGTTGAAAAACCAGCTGTATAATCCATGCCACGGGAACTCGGGGAGCCCCACTTTCCTTAATTGGACGGTGCCCGAGAACGGGGGGCGCGCCTCGGGACCTGGTCCCGGCGGCACGCACCTTTGAGGTCGGACTCGTGGTGGCGTTGATCTTCGCTGGAGAACGATAGGAAGTCAGGGATCGGACGACCGAATCCGCGTCCAGTCAAGCGTGGGAGGCAAACGCGGGGTACGCCTGCAGCTCCCCGCTCCGACAGATTAAACGGACGGAGCGTACATTCCCTCCCGGTGATGGAACCTCTCTCAGACACATTCACTCAATTTAATTCATATATTAATTTAAAAACAATAATAAATTTATTTTAATAAATAAATAATAATTTTTCTGTAGTATTTTACTGCCTTTTTATTTAAAATAAATGTATTTAACTATGTAAAGTTTATATAGTTCTATTTTTAATCATAGTGGTACGTGATAATTTACTCGTACTCAAGTGGTACGTGATAAATAATGTTTGAGAACCACTGGTTTAGAACAATTGTTCAAGAACAAAGAATATCTAAGATAACAAGACACAAAGTTACTTGCGCTACATTGTGAATAAGCTTCTACGTCTTCATCAGATACTTTTATGTCATTTGGTTACTCCTTTCTAAAACGTTTTGACTGTTATGACTATTTCTTATCATACTCTAGTCAGCTCATTGCACTTTGTTGGTAAAATATTTTGTATTTTTGAAAGTAACTAACAATGATTGAGAAACCTGGATTTGAGTTGATCTAATAAATAGTCTAAAAATGGAATAAAGATGGATCGACGATAGTACGTTTTGGTAACTTCTTCGTAGTTTATGAGATTGAGTATGAGGTTTTACTCCATCAGTTTTAGTGCTGTTTTCGTCAATGAAAATTGACGTAATAATTCGTTATTGGAGTTCCTCCAATGATGAGCAAACATGTTCGTAAACATTATGAAACAAACTCAGAGAATTCAAATGTTCAAAATTATCCAATCAATAACTTTAGGGATGCTATTCGATAACAAATTTTATCTAGTTGGTTCATTAGAGACTAGATAGGTAATTTTTTTAATGTCTCAACAGTTTTCCTAATAACTGCTTACCTAAACATCTTTTGATAAGGTACCTAAGTACCTTTTAATTTCATCAAAATATAATTTTCTAACGCTTTAAACATTTTTTTGCGCTGTTCCGATAAACTTTTTTAATTCACTGGAAAAAGAAACATCTTTAGTACATTATATTATATTTTCAAGTCTTAAGTTTACATATTAAAATGTTAATCAACTACCAAAAATTGACAGATTTCGTGATTTTTATCAACATTTCAAATTCAAATGCTTATTTTTAAAAATTGTGACTTCAGAATATTGAGATTTTTTCACACGAGTAAGAACAATATATGAGGAATATTGTATCAAATATTAAAATTTTGTAACAAATCAAAATCGATTTATTGACGTTTTACGAAAAAAAAAAAAATATATATATATAGCAGTGAAATGATCGGTGGTGAATAATCCGTCAGCGAAACCATTTCGACGAATATTCTGGCGGTGAAATGTTCACGGCGAAACTAACTAGACCCATTATTTTTACGAAGTATTGTCATCATACAATTTCGAACTTTTGAGCTGAAAGTACCAATACCTTCTAGGACGTTTAGAAAATTACAAATTATTTCAGATTCACTTTTCTTACTAAAAAATTTGAAATTATTTTTTTTTTAGCATATTTAATAGTCTTTTGAACAATTAATTTTGTTTAAGGTGCATAAAGTAGAATAACTACGTTCGAAATTAATCATTCATTCATTTCGAGAGGGTTTAAGCCCCCCAAAACTCCTCCCTGCATCCGCCACTGCATATAAAATTATTACTATAATAATAATTTACCTATACAGTATGATTATTATGCAGCAGCGTAAAATACATTATATGATTGTGATAAATTTAAAGTAATATACATCAAATTAAAAATCAACAAATTTAATAAAAATCATAAGCATAACAGCAAGCAGTTGTCGTATACCGTCATCTCGTATATTTCGTCGGAGATGGTCTATTATCGTGCACGGAATAGTTTTCAGTCGATCATGGCACCCGGACAAAGTGTTTCACCGTTTTCGTTGAATATATTTTGTAAATGACTGCGTAACCGTAAACAGCTGCGAGGAACAAGAAAAATCCGCCATAGATCAAAAACTGAAACACACGAGTCACGTGGTGAGCTTTATTTTTGCTTTAAAACCCGATCGTGAATTATCGATTACGCTGTACCTTGAATTTATTTTAACATTTTTTTTTCAAGATATTTTAACGCCTATAATCAAATCGCTTAGTTCAATTAGGTAACGTGACTTTTGGCCAACCATGATTGGTGAAAACAGTTATCTTGTCAATGAAATCGATTAAGAAAACAATTTTGATGATGAAAGACGAATGAAAGAAAAAGAAAGCTAACAAAGCGCTATTTTTGTTTTCAATTTCAATCTCAATGCTCATCGAATAAGCTATAATATAAATTATTCGTAAAAAACAGTGTGGTTGACAATTCAGTCATCAGTTAAAATTGGTACGAGGAGAGAAGCATTTAGGAATAAGAAGGACAATCGAAAGTGGATAATCCTTAGCATTACTTTTATTTTTGCAGTGGACGGTGATGCTGTGGATAAAAATGAATTTAATTATAGCTCTTTATACAAGTGTAAAATTACACAGTATGTTTTTGAATATGATATTTCACTTGTGTTAACTAACAATTAAAAATTTTAACATACTTAATTATGAGTCATTCGTTATAATATATTATATTATCTTTTTCGGACATGATATCCAAATGTTTGCAGTAATTTGTGGACATTTTGGACTTATTTCCGGTCTCATATATTTCTTATATTTTGGGATGCCCTAATGGATTTTCGATAAACGAAACATTATTATATTTATTTAAGAAAACTTCAACTAATTATACAGAATTAATTTTTATTGTAAAGTTAAAGGTAAAGGTCAGTTAGTTAAGGTGAAATTATTTTAATTAAACATTTTTTTTTCCGATTGAAAATTGGAATTATTTGGGAAAATCGGGTGTTTAAAAATTTAAAGTGGATGGATAATTGGCGTTACAGCAACTGTAATAAAATATATCCATACGAAAAATATTAGGAATAATTTTTATCGCAATGTTGATTCATTTGAATCATACTGATAACAGCTTTTGGATGGCTGTCATGATAAAATTGAGAAACTAAAAGAGGAATGGGCTGTCGTTTGAATGTAAATGAAAACAAATGTGACTCGAAATATCATCACGGTTTGAAGGTTCATCGTGGTCGCAATAAATATTCATTTTTATTATCAGGTAATGTGAGATGGCATTACTAAATCCCACGATTTACGTTTTTGTTGAAATTAGTTTTCTAAAGCCGCGTTGATAATAAGTAACATTTTTAGATAACAAAATATAACGTGTAACATATAAAAAATATATTTTATACGTAATAAACGTTATAATAGCATGTACTGAGTAAGTAAGTACTTAGTAAATATTACTTACACACCAAATTGAAATATTTTGTTATATTAATTAATTCTTGGCATCGTAGCCAACCGTGATGACGTTGTTATCGCAATAAAAGCATACGCAAATTTAAAATTTAAATAAAAATAAAAAAAAAAATAAAAGAAAATTTTGCGTTTACCCATCATTACTTGATATAATATGGGGCTAGTAATCTTTTAGAGGATTAAAACATGATAATTCCTCGCGCAGTGAACTTTGCTGCGACGGAAGCTTAACATTTTTTTACGGATTTAGAGTGCAAATTTCAAATTTTTTATAAATTTAGCTGGTCATAAAGTAAGTAAGATACAGTTACAAATATTCTTTAATCCGCTATTATCTATGCTTTAAATGAATTTAAGTGAAATTATATATGTAGTTTAGTTTTTTTTTTTAATTGCTATAACTTGGTCGATTTTGGACTTAGAAAGTTGGTTAAACTACGAAAATTCATTCAAAAATTAGAAAAAAAAGTAGTAGTAGTTAAAATAAAAGGTTTCCATTTAAGAAAAAAAGTTGTTCTGCGCACACACTTGTCTTATTTAAGATAAAAAAACTCAAAGATCATAAAAATGTGTTTTTTATGTTATAACAACCAACTAAAAACAGAATTCAAATTTCAGGTCTCTAAACAAAGATATTGTGTGTTCTAAATTAACGTTTACATACTATATAACTTTATTATAAAACACTATTATTTAGTATTTCTACTTAAGTGTGGATATGGTTTAATGCAAAATATTATATTTTTTTATACACAATAGTGTATAATACATACTCTGTGTATGTATATATATATAGAATTCATATTTGATGAAATATTCCGTAAAATATTATGATTTACCAAAATCACCTTTAGGTACATGGTGAAGCTGTTAAAAACGGTTTCAAGACATAACTAAAACTTGTCGCGGTCCTAATAAATATTATTTTCATATTATTATAGAAGAGGATAGCATGTATATAAATAGGATATGTTTTTGGTTCGCACGAAATTCCGTCTTCAAAAGTTCTGTTGTACTCGAGCTTAGTAATATTATTGTTACCAAGCATCACGGGCTCACCGCTAACCGACTGGAAGGTAAAAATACTGGGAGTGATAAAAGGCCTCGGAACAAACTACTAAAGTCAACTCAGAACTTGGTCGGTACCAAGGGAGGGAGGGGAGCTCCGTCGTACGTCGGACCGACTTGCTCCTTCGGAAACAATGCCCCCCCCCCTCCGAAGGTGAGGTGCCTGCTTCGGTTGCAACGTGACGGCTGTGAGACAGGCGTTGGATAGTAACAAAAACACAGGACTCAGAGGAGACTAACACCGTTTTTGAACTCGCATTCTGGAAGGGTACGGACTTAGAGTTTGGAGCTGATAGCCCTTAAGACGACCATTGGAAACTTTGGGTCTGTACCACGCCACGCTTCTTGAATAACGCCTCACGTTAATATAAGGCGCGCGGCTGCAAGGCCTCGGTCAAAACCCGAGAGCTCGATTTTACTAAACATTAATCGACGGATCTCACTTGTTTGGGTATAGATGTTCCCACATACACTAGTATTAATGACGTGATCGAGGTCAGTACGTTTGATAAGAACGCGTTGAATCCCAACACTAATATGTAGCAGTCGTCTTTCAATTGTTTAGCGATTTCGGATCTGAAACGAAACAGAGACGCATGAGTGAAAAATCAATTCGTTGACCATTCCGGTGAATTAGTTTCACATAGAAAGTGGACGAGGATATGTAGATTACAATAAAATATTACTTCGCGTCTTGCCTGTTCAGTCTAAATATAGTTGATAAGATGAAAAACAGTCGAAAGACACCAAAGTGTCCGAGATTGATGATTTGCAAAACGTTTCAATTGCCTTTAGCGTCAAGGCCTTATATTATTGCGTTAAATCATCGATGCTCTGAGAAACTTCAAAAATCGTATTTTATCGATGAATTATAAAGAAAATATAGTGTAGTCGTTTTATTTTTGTATGTAGTATACCATAAACATATTATATCTCACGAGATATCTTATCTCGTATAACTATAAGGTAACGAGTATAACTCGCATACTATTTAAACCTATTATGATTTTTTGATAATCTGGGGTATCGGATTATGTACTACTCGTATTTATTTACAGTACATCACGGAGAATTCTTAAAGACAGATTTACAATAAATTCGGTTCTTTAAACATTTATATTTTGGTACATTTAACTACTCCAAAGATGTATAGGTATAATAAGCGACGAGATTGTTTTTGTTACTCTATTATTGTTTAATATTAAAAGTTTTAATATTATAACGAATCAAACAATAATATTAATTAGTACGACTAAACAATTAACTAAAAAATTTACTGGTAGTCATTTAAAATTTAAATTTAATAAAACTGTGTCGCCTTTTGCGGGTATTTATTCTCCGGAGTTAAATGGTGAAACTTATGTAAACACCTCGTCATAGAAAACTATATTTTTCCCAGATTTTCAATTACGATTCGTTTTCTATCAATCGGGACTACTTATTTATTTATTCGTATTGTGGTTATAAAAAATCCGGATTCTCTTTTCGTTCGTAAAATCTGTATAACTCAATTTTAATACTCGTATGACAAACATTTTATTTTTTATCAATATTTCTAAGAAACGGTTTCTACCTTGTTATATTGACTGTTACTGACAGTTAATACCGAATTATTTTTTAAATGATTCCTAACAGTTAAAATATAACTGATAAAAACAATTAAAAATTGAAAAGATAATTCCCCCCCCCCCCCCCAAAAAAAAAAAAAAAACTAAAATTACGAACTATGAAATGTTATGAATTCAAATGCATGAAAAATGTCTGGGTTAGGTCTACGGTTTTGTTCACTTACATGGTTATTACGAATACGGACTGTATTAGTATGGTATAGCTGAAGTATATTATGTACACGAGATAGATGTGTTTCACCCAGCTACACAGGCACACCAGCAGCCCGATTGCAAGTCCATTGAGCGCCAAGAACGTATCGCCGTACACCATCCAGTCCACGTTCGTCTTTCCCATTTTGTAAGAGCAATATGCCGCTGTGTGAATAAAACATGGTAACGGAATAGATCAATATTTTCATATATTATTTAATATTTTAATATATTTCATATGTTTATCTATAAAAAAATTCGAATGCAGTTAGAATAATCTTATACTTTAATCCACATGATTCTCGAATACGCCTTACGTGTTCGTGAAGACTAGGATGGTGCGTCCCGTGACACTTGAAGTCTTTTTTTTTTGGCTACTCTCCGTAGAAGACTTAGATAATATAGTAAATAAATATGTCGATGGTGGAACGGATAGGTCGAATTTATCTTTAAATTAAATAGAAAAGGAAATCATTTTTCGATTACAACACGTTATATTGTTACATATCAGTAGCTGATTGAGTTGTCACTAGGGATGGAAAGTAAAATTCGAAGATCTGAATTTTTCGAATTCCCGGATATTCAAATCCAGATTTTCCGAGGTATTCGGATCATCTGGATTTACGGATTTGTATTTTATGTGAATTATAATTATTTTTAATTTCTAGTAAAACAAATTATTCCGTTGTATTGGTCAGTGTATCATCCTACACGATTACCACATTCACATGCTAACACTATATTTAATTACGCTTTGCACTGCGATTCGGCCGTTCGTCGTATAACACGTAATTAATGTACATTGTTACAGCGCCGTTACACGTTACGGGTGTTAACGATCCCGCGAAGGTTTCCCTTTCTTTTCGCTGACCGCAAATATAAATCAACTAACCGCACATGGTGGCGAGCGAATCGATCAGTCCGTTGAGCAGCTCGTTCTTATTGTCCGACACGTCCATGATGTACGTGTACAAAATATTTATATATAGGAATATCTGCGGAAAGAGAAAAATGTGGACGGATCGGGTGAAACAGCGCGAGCTAAACGTCAAATTGCATGCACGATTCTTACCTGTATGTACCCGGTCAGACCCAAGACGTGCCATAATGACCATCGCAGGATCACGGGGTTAGCGTAAGAGTTTTTGAAGTTCTCGTAGATGCACGCGAACGGGCTTTTGATTTTCGTCGCCGGCTTGCAGTCGACCTGGGAACGGTCACAGAATACGTTCATCACATTATCGGAGCAAGACCGTGAGCTACAAGGCTGTACGTGGTGTTTATTTCAGACGTTCCATCACGGAAGGGTGGGAAGGTTGAACACCATAAATTGTCATGGAAAGTATGTGATATGCGGTATTCCAATCGTAGTAAATTAATAATAAATAAATACATGTTGGGAGGTTATACGTTTTTGAAATAAACACCGGCTAAATGTGCATCAGCGATGTGCACGACAGACCAGGACGAATTGCTACGGGGAACTGTCGTCTGAAACGGAACGTATTTTTTTTGTCCGGTTCAACGTCTGTACCGCCACTGTTGTATAGCGAAAACGCGGTCCAAGGAGCGAATCGCAAAAGAACGTCCCCGTTATGTAAAATGAGTTGTTTGACGTGACCAGTCTGACGACCAGAACGTACCCGATATACGGCAGGACCGAATGAAGGATTACCGTCCGAAAAGACGAGTTTCCCGTTTTGTTCGCGTATCATCCGTACTCGGACGTGAGTCGTTTTATTAAACCTGCAGTTTCAATGCGTATCGAATAAATTAATTATACTACCGCGAGGACGTGCGAAATGAATGCAAAGCACGTGTTGGTTTCACTCAATTTATTTTGTCAAGCAAACGGTGCGGTAAGGGTGGGACGTTCAATGTTATCAGATCGGAGGTGGGTATGTACGCGTACACGTGTCCTGGGTTGGACGGACCGAAGAAGAAAATAATCGAATGCTCACGTTTTCCTTTTTCACCGCAAACGTAGAGTACTTAGGTAAATCCGAGTTACAGATAACGTGTTTCGAGAACAAGTTTGCTTTCTCGTCGACGGTTATGGGAAGAGTGTTGTCCGCATGGAAGTAACCGATCTTCCGTTTAATCGGCGGAAACATGATCGCCAACGCGGTTGCGATAGTCACGCCTGAAAATAAAACGTCATGGGTTAATTTGTATTCGGAGGGTAGTGAGAGTCGTAATTGTAGTTTTGACGCTTTTTCGATTCTATTTTAACAGCGTCAAAATGTCCTTGTTACATGTGAAAGTTATTACATATTTCTTAAGGATATACGAGTATATACAAATAATATTATCCAATAAAAATTCATTTGAATACGCGTTTTCTTTTTATCCGTTTCATTATCAGGCCTAACCATAAAAATATAGAGGTATAGAAGATTTAGTTTTGCTGGAGCCCGACAAGGCTACCGTACGTAAAAATATATTTACGAATCATGTTGAAAAATATATTATTCTTATTAAATACGGCTTATGAAGTATTCATTATATAGTATTTTCATTTGATATTTCCAAAAGATCATTGAATCGCAAACCGTTTTTCATTAGTACGCTAAAATACTCGAATATGAAATTTTAGGACAAGGCCACTGACTATAATATGGCATTGTACCCCAAAGTCCCCCTCCCTATTGCGCATCCATTGTTCCGGTGATTATACTATAGACCCAAGGAGTGGTGCAAATTTCTCTAACGTCCCACGAAATCTCTAAGGGTACTCTAAAGGTACTCACTCTACTCTCATCTCCATTACACTAATGGGGAAGGGTTAAACACACGATCCTGATTGGATCGAAAAAACTATTCGAACCACGATCGTACAAAAATATGATAATGAGACGTTACGATAAATCATACCAATGATACTGTAGTACGGTAAAGTGTTGTAATCGCTGTTATTTAAATATGTCACGAGTTGACCGAAAAGACCGGATATGAATTGGCCGCTCAGCGCCCCAGCCTTCACGCATCCCGTGGCTATTTGATAGTGGTTCTTGTCTTTTATCCGGGCGAACAGGTAACCGTAGTACGTCCATTCGCAGCTGAGTACCAGGGAACCGAAAACCTCGGACAACTGCAGCAATGCACATGAAATCAGTTATATAAATGCTCTAGAGTAAAACGTAGGCATATATACCATACGGGTTGTTGCTTACATTGGACCTGAGATCGGCTAGTATAATTATTTTTATTGAGTTCCAGAAGGTTAAAATAATTAATTGGGTTCGAGGAGAAAAAATAATTTACTTCACTTTTTACGTTAAAACTACCAATTAACTAATTAATAATTTATCTAAGTGCATTGCACGCCCGTTAAAGGTGTAGTGTATTTTAATTAATGTATAAAATAATGAAATGGATTGTTTGGAAAACAAATTATATTTAGTCTACAGGTATCGTTTTTTTTTTTTTTTTTTAAAGTATTTTTTTCTGACATTATGAATACTTTAGCACGTTTAACTTTGCTAGGTTATTAGAATGGAGTTTTTTAAAAAAAAAATTAATTTAGTCGTACTTAGTTTTATATTTGGAGACTGCCGACAATAGGATTGAAAATCATATGTATTTCTAGAACATTTTAGAAAAACTTGATTATTTAAAAATAAAAATAAAATTGCTTGTTGTTTAATTGCACTTATTTCTACTGCCTACGTATAGACCCTATATATGATAAGTTATACGTTTATTTGTTTAACGCTAACAAAAATGCAGTGGGACCACATCATGTGCAGTCGAAAGTAGTGGATCGCTTCACGAAACGAAATAATTTCAACGCGTCGCAACGGAACTGGATCATCTGGAGGTTAAAAGGCAAAGGAGTTCCGAAAATATGTTCGTACATACCTTAACGCTAAATATGGAGGGCTTCCCGATCAGGCACAAGTACGTAGCCATGCCTACCATCCCGTTGAACACGACGAGGGGCTTGTATCGTAAATAGTCGGCCAACAGGAACACTAGAAAAGTGCTTACCACCGAAGTGTACAGCTTTATCGGAGTGAATACATCGGTAACCTGTAACACCACCAACCGTATCAGTATAATACTATTTTACGTCCAAGAAACGGTTTAAAAGTCAATAAAAATATCTGCGACTGCAAAGAGTATAGTTTTCTACAATAATTCCGACCATGTTTATAAGGTGATGCGCAAAATGGACAACCTGGGGTGGAGTATTCTTTGGCAGTTGTCATAATGGAAACAGGAGTACGATTATTTTTTTGAAGGCTTATAAATATTTAAAAATTATTGATTTAGTCCAATTATTTTTTGACAAATAAATTTTGATTTCGATGAAGGCAGATAACCATATTAAATTTGTCTCTATGGACGATGAATGCGCATATAATGTTTAACATAAATGTTATCCCGTAGGAATTAAATGTGCTTATATCTTGTGAAATATAGAATCTTCAAAATATTGAACTATAAAATAAGTCGAGAAATTATAATTACTACCGTTTGTTATGAGATATTCATACCACTCGTATGTAACTGACAAATTCTGAAGTCCGAGAAAATCACCGATTGCGTTTGGATACATTTTAATTTCAGATATTAAGTCATACTAATATCTTCCAATATTTTACTAATTTTTTTTTTTTTTTTGCTTATTGGAAAACGTACCATATAATATATATAATTATTGATTGATTTATACTATTTGCAGTCTATACACAGTGTATTGTAAATAATATGCACCACAATTGCCTATACAATGCGCCGTCTTATAAAATGTATCCGTGATGTTTGCTTATTAGTACTAGTGCTCTTGTTTTGTTAAGAGTACTGGACTTAGCATTTTTTTTTTTTTTTTTTATCTAAACGCAAAATGCTAATTTAGAAATTAAAAAATTATACAAAATGTAAGAAAATAACTACATAGAAACTTCAAATCAAATTGAATATGGTTTAAATTTGTAACATGGGTACATTTTTGATTTTCTAAAAGCTATTTAAATATTTATTTAATTTTTTTTTTTATTTAAGGAAATAGGCGTTAAAGTTTTTCCTGTCTTATGAAACGTTTCGAAATGCACAATACGGAAACACATAGTCTAATTTTTCTGTTAGTTTTAGCACAGGAATACTTTGAGTGCTGTACCTTATTTCATACTTCTCAGAAAGAAGTATATAAATTAAAAGAAAATTTTAAGAACAGTAAAACGGAAACTAGTTATATTTTGTCAGTATAATAACTGTATTTTTCTGATTATACTAGATTATATAATATAATCTATAATCATTACATGTATTAGTCTTAAGCCACTTTTAGCTTAAGAAAAATAACAGTATTGATACTTGCATAATTCATTTTTATTTATAAATAAACTAATTTGTATAATTTTAAATCTAGACTAATTCATACATAATACTATTTACCCAAATATAAATTATATAATCAACAATAATAGCTAAGTAAATCGACTTGAGTAGGATTATTCGACTAACCTACTCAAACTTAACTATTCAACAAGGGGCTTTTACCGAAAAAATCATATTGGCGTGCATTGAAGAATTAATGAAAGTAAAAGATTATCAGAATATTCATTCCTTATATACAATACTAGAATTAGCAGGACCAAAACTATCAAAATAACCAAAATAGTAAAATATTAGGAAGTTACAGAAAAAATAACCTCTTAATTAAATTTTATAAACTCATAACTTGGATTGCATAGAATCTCATATTTTATCATTTAAAATTGAAAACTCTGTCCTCATAAAAATGTCACCAACTCTAAAGTCTTTGATATTCAAAATACAAAACTTGCGGTTAAAAGGTTGGATAAATGAAGGTAATAATGTAAATTTTTAAATTAAACTGTATAAATATTATTGTTCATTAGAATGTAGCATTAAGTTACTATATTATGTATTTATTTTAACAAATTGTTTTAAGATTTAGTAATGTTTTTATAATATGTCATGTATAATTATAATTTTCTTTTTGTTATAATATATTCAACTATTTAAATTTTAAAATTTAAAATTATGGCTTTTATATATGTTTAGCAGTTATACAAAGTTGTAACATTACGTTCTAATTGTATATTGAAAGTAGGATAAAATTAGATTATTTTGTAATTTTTTATTAGTATAAACTTTTATGCAGCAATAAATAATTGCTTTTTAAAAAAGTTTTAAAAAAATGATCGGTTTAAAATAATGATCCCTTCAAGTTTTCATAACGAAGACATCAAAATTTTATTTTTATCAAATAAAATAAATAAATAATATACAAAATATATGATACCTTCTGAATAGTTTTAAAATAATTTAATTTATATTTGATTGAATCTAAATAACATAATTTATGAACTATTTAAATCACTTTAATTTTTATAATAATTATATATATGTATATTTATTACAGAACATGTTAAGTTAATTGAGAGTAATAAGAATCATAGTTCTTTTGAAAAGTTGCCAGAACAATTAAAAAAACCATATGAATTAAAACCATACTGTAATGGCCCAGTGTATTATTGATGAATGTATTGTTGTTCTTAATAATTTTGAAAACAAGAATAGTATCAAGGTATGTAGTTGGTTAACTTATTTTATAATCAGTGTTTTAAATATAAAAAATAATAAAATAAGATAATATTTTTTTAGTTTATCTTTCTAAAAATATAGATCGATGATAATCAAATTAAAAACTTCCTTTTTTTTTTAAATTATGTACGTATTATTAGATCATTGTTATTAAGAAAAAAAAATTATTCGATTATTTTATTACTCATCAAACAAATCTACTAAAACTTTCTAGATATCGATCATCAAAAATTTAATATGTCGAATGTAGCTCACTTGTATGAATATATTTGTGACCCCTGTTAATAACAACGATCAGGCACGTTGTTAAGGGGGAGGCCTTAGGGGGCCTGGCCCCTTTGATTTTGATTTTTAAATATTATAGTGTTTAGTTGTCCCAAACCGACTAAATTCTGAATGTATATTCCATATGGGCGATTGTAAGCTCCGCTAAAATACCGGTTAAGATAAAAAGATAATAAAAGGTCTAGTGTAAACTCCGCCAGTTTTTTTTCTTACCTATAATGGGTTTATGTAAACTCCTCCAATTTTTTTTTTGTTTACCTGCTCAGTGATCACATTACTACGTGCCTTCTCACATTAAATACGTTGACATCTATTGCGATGATGTATGTCGAAATTGATAAAATTATTATCATGGTTCCATTAATTTCAAGGTAGATATATATCCACATTGATTCGTTTATTAATAATTTTATCTTCATATTATTTGAAATTAGTATTTCCATTGATGATGTCGGCAGTAGGTAAGGTATACGTAAAGTATACTTTGACGAACATAATCATTCGTAGCTACGTGTCTTCGTGTATATTTTATATTGAACGAAATATGTTGCAACAAAGCAATAATATAAAATTAATTACTGATCAACGAGGCAATTTATTGGTTTTATTTAACAACTAACTACAAATATAACCAAAATATAAAATATGCCAGACGGTTAAATAAAATGGAGGTACGATATTATATAATATTATAATAATAATATTCACTTATTATTACTTATTACGTATTACTTTTAATAATATATCGTAATAATTTTATACTACTACTCGATTTTCTTCAGTGGCAGTGTTTACATGTATTAAATTTTACATGATTTTTTTTAGTGGTGGAGTTTACATGAACCCAATTTTACCTGTTTTATTTTTCTAGTTAACAGTAGTAGGAGTTAACAGTAAAAATAGTACTTGTGGCGGAGTTTACATGCGCCCATTCCATATAATTAACGATCGTATAACAATAATTAAATTCTGAGATTCTATTTAATAAATATTCGTCATTTGATAATTTGAGATAAGACAATAGTACGTGTATAAATAGATTGAAAACCAGGAATTCTAAATACGGATATCGAACGCACATTTGATAAATACAACTACAAAAAGAGGCCAAAAAATGTTAGCCTAACCTTAGTCCCCCTTATAGAAATATGTCTGGTTACCTTCCTGACAACGATTTAAACAATTAAATTACTTCCTTGAAATAGCTATTTCGGATTAATATTAAACTTTTTTTTAATATAAATATTTAACCATCAGAGTTTACAATATTCTATATAATAATACCAATAACATTTTGATTACACGTTATGTTTATTTATTTAATAATATTTACAGGAAATTGTACTGATACTTATAACTAGGGCTCGGAAGTTATAGGAGTTACATAATGTTCTGTATGCACTCGATTTATAGCAGACCAAGCTATAAATCCCATACAAATCCGAGCTATACTATTTTGAATTCAAAAATTGAAAATTAAAAACACACATTTTGCATATTTCATTGATTTTCATTGATTTTCGCATATTTGTATGCATATTTAATATTTCAATAAAAAAGTTAATTTTTTTCATTCTTAACGTATTTATTTTAAATAATGTTACATAACACAACGCTATTAACGCAGAAAACGTGCATCATATAAAACTCAATATTATTTTTCGTGGTTATTTATTGTTATTTTTTAATGTCTATTATGAATTTGACGAAAATATTTATGGTTCAATACAATTATTTAACAGTTATTATACAACACATATTTATTTCGTATTTTACAAGTAATGAAAATATATTTGTTTAATTATTTTATGAGTTCAATAAAAACTCAAATGCCAATCGATATGCGCCATATTTTAGTTTTCAATAATACAATTTTTTTATCTATAGGCTTTTAAAATTTACTAATTAACTTTTAATAAATAAATAATTTTTTTTTTTCATATTCCACAATTTTTCATCATTTATCTTTTTTTCGTGCATATTTTGCCTTTTTTAGCTCCTATAACTTCCGAACACTATTTATAACACTAAACGAAAATTAAAGTATTCACTATAAGACTGGTATTTTTTTTAAAATAAAAGTTGTTACGGAAGAATTGTTATCAAAAGATTCGGTTTCATCGGGGTAAAGACAATAATATAAATTTTCTGTATTTTACATTTTATTAATT